GTATCGAACAATGCTCGACCACACTTACCAATCGTCGGGTAATTGAATCGTACGTTTCGATATCACGGTGAAACGTTGTGTAATTGTTCCGAGGAACCGTAACGGAACGACGAATTAACTTCTTCTCGAGTTGATAATGCATTCCGCGTCAATTTGTATGTTAATCGAGTATCGTTTGTTCCGACTTCCGCGAGCCTCTTGTGAAAGTATGCAACAATGAAATTCCCTGTGCATGGGACGCGAAGAAACGCGCAACGCTTCCACTGAAATAATTATGCTCGCCCACCGATATTGCTTTCGCAATTACGGTGGCGCGCGAAGAAAATTATTTTAGCTAACCGTGTATCGTGTAACGCCACGAACCACTCCGCGCCGCTCTAGCTTGGATTCTATTTCCCTGCGTGCCTGAGGCGTGTGCGTTGCCCTCGTGTGGCGTTACCGTAGTGCCGTATATTACGTGTAGCCTGCGCCATTGCTGTTGGAAGAGCCCATCCACCGATATACCGGCCGGAATCGAGCATATTCACGGGGACCTGGTCTTCCGTGTAACAAAGCTCTCTGGGCTGCCTCAGGTGAGAGCTCCGTAACGCTAGGCTCGCGTGTAAACGCTTGCCAAAACAAGAAAGTGGTTTTGCTGTACGTTGAATAACATGACACACATCGTCGTAATTCGATTTTCCTTTTCAACGATCGAGTTGGTTCGCGTTGGTTCGTCTGCATCGTCGAGTCCAGTGAAAATAGGGCGGTATAATAAAATTGTTCGATAGAAACGACGGGAACAACGAAATTATATTACAATTGTCGCTGCAGCCATCTTTCGTTTATTAGGTTAGCTTTTGAATAGAGTGGCCACTTGACGCAGCATGGAAGTTTTCAGTTAATTCGTACTGTTGACATGTGAGAAGGGCGTCAGTGCCAAAAGTAAATTTCGAAAAGTGTCTCTAAATATTATGAAGTTAAATATTTTTTAGAGAAATCTGTGATATTTAGAAATTTAATATTTCTCCTTTGTAGTTTCATTATTACGATAGGAATTATGTAACGAATTAATTAACGCAATTAATTTTAATTGTAGCCCTCTCAGGACCTTGTTGGATAAAACAGGGAAACGCAGTAAACAGTGTTGTTTATTACTATCATCTTTTATTATTTATTTAATATACAGAAAATATAGCTTTAAAAATAAAAACAATGAGAATGTCCTAGTGTTCCTCGTTAAGGAGACTTGATTTATGTTCGGCTTACATACTATTTCAGTTAGGTCGTTCTACAAGAGGTCACAAAGGTCATTCACAAAATCTGCCATAGTTCCATTAATTTCAAAGATACGACGACGAAATTCCCAGGTAACATGTAGAAAACAGTAATAAATCCATTTATTTCTTTTACGTAAAAATGATCTGCCTTAGGCTATTCCTGCATCGAACAGCACAATTATTTCAAAACTTTACGACGGATAATTACCAAATCAATAGGGAAGTACTTTGCTTTTTATTCTTTCGAGTATGTTAGTACAATTGTAACACACTTGTGCCGCGTGAAATATCGTTCGTCGAACTTTCTCCAAAGCTAGGCTGTTAAAATTTCGTTCTTTTGCTTCGTTCCAGTTGCACAGCTTGTTTTCGAGCGCGGTTTACGACCTCGTTCCAAACAAAC